TCCTTTCCTAGGCCGGCCCACTCGGGCGGTAACCGTTGCCGCGCGCCCTTCCCTCTCCGCAGCCGCTGATGAACCAGGCCCGCACGTCAGCACCGTCTCCCTCCTCCCGCAACCGCCGCGCGAGTCCAAGCCGCAACAGCCGTCCGCTCCTGGCGTCGTGGGCGCGTCACCCCGCTCCCCGGCCTCATTTAAAGGGTGTCGAACCCCCTGCGCGCACCCTTGCTGCCTCCCCGCTCTCTTCTTCGTGTTCGCCGGGCGCCGAGGAAGCCACAGCAACCTCTGCAGCGCGCGCCGGGATCCGTCGTCCGCCTCCGCATGGTCCGTCGTCTCCGAGCCGCCGTCGACCCCGTTTTTCCCCGCTGTGAGCTTTGCCGTTCTCCCCTCTCTCTCCTCGTGCAGTTTATTTCTTGTTTCATGGCTTCTAGAGCCCGTTTCGCGTGCGGCCGTGTGCTCTCGGCACCGGCCATGGCGACCCCCGCGTCAGCAGCGTCCTCCGGCCATCGTATCGGCCTGGCCGAGATCCCCTGCTCCCCCTCTTTCTCCCGGTGCCCTCGGTTCTTCGAACCATGGCCCGTAGGCCTTGTTCCCCGCGCGCCAGTGACCACCTCGCCGTCGGCCATGGAGCCTTGCCGCCGGATTTACTGTTCCGGCCGGCGCCTCCCTTTCTCTCTCTTCCCCTCTCTAATCCGAGCCCTCCATCGTTTGATCTACGGCTCACAGAAGCCGATACCCTTTCGCCCTGGCAGTTTTGCTTAGAGACCCTGAGTTTTTCTAAGTTCTAACCCACAGTCCAAAGCACATTTCCAGAGTACGCCTTCCCCTTTTGAAAACGTAAAATATACTGTTTTAGTCCAAAATACGTTTTCAGTATTTACAGAAATGCCATTGCACTGTTTTGTTTATAAAATCGTCGTTTTAGCTCCGAATTGACCCGTTCAAATTGCGTTAGTTTCATAATTCCATAATCTACGTGTTAGTACCACTGTTAATCATGTTTGCAACTTTAAATTTCATGGTTAGATTTAATTAAATAAATTGCTATAGGAAATCCCGTTTAATTCATAACTTTCGCGTTTTAGCTCCGTTTTTCGTGAACTTCGCGTTGACGTGATCGTAGCGAGACGTAGATTTTTTTCATAAACATTTTATCTTGTTTTATTTACTGTTGGTGTACTATTCTAACCATAGGATTGTTTGCTTTGTATGAATGTTCCTGAAATGTTGTATGTTGCCGTGTTGGTCGTGTTCAGACGGTGAGGAGAACGTTGGAGACCAAGAGTTCTTCGACGGCCAGCAGGACCAGCAGGAGTTTGCTAACCAAGGCAAGTATAGCATGGGATCTACCTTGATGCCTATTCATCTTTATTAATTACTCATTTACATGTGTCTAATTATGATACCCGTAAGGACATCCTAGAGATTGATTATCCTGTTCCTTGTCTCCTATGGGTTATATGCATATGGGTAGTTTGCTAGCGCTCAAAGTAAATGTACATGATATACATACTGAATAATGATGCTATGGAATGAAAAGGTAAAATTTGCGTTGAAACAACTAAATTATAGGGCGAGCGAGCAAATGACTTTTGATCATGATGCCATCGGCCCTCCATAAGGACTTATCTGTCGGCAAAAGCTGGGACTGATAGTGCAACCGTGAGGGTCATATGGCTCTGACTTTAGCTCAGTAATAGGACCTTTTGTAGCTTGTTAGAGGTTACCTTTATGGCGCAAAAGGGGCTTGCCACGTTGGGTATAGGACTGCCTCTGTTCCTATGTGTATAGCCACGATGGATATGTGCCATAGGAAAGGAGGGTTCCTACATCTGCCTGCTTCATAGTGTACCCTGCCCGCTCACCTTGGCAGTGATATGGGAGTAATTAACCCGGGCATATGGGAATCACGACTCGCGGTGAATGTGCACCACCTCTGCAGAGGGTAACAAACTGTTATAACAGCCGTGCTCACGGTCACGAACGGCCCGGAAAACTCACAGAATAATTGGTTACTTATTATTGTTCATTTATGATGGTTTATGATGATATGATCCAAATGATGCTGATATCTGATTAAGTGGGTTTAAATGGGAGCTTAAGCATAACTTGATAATACTTGATAATAAAATCTTGACTTACTAAAAGTGCTAACTACAGTAAACCAGTGTCAACCTTTTTGAGCTTCATAACCCCATATTATCTTGTTGAGTACGGGACGTACTTTCTCTTGTTTACTTTCTATATTTGGATAAAAATCCCAGATGGGTAACAGATGACAACGTGTATGAGGAGTTTCCGGAGGACTATTAGGCTTGTGGTCAACCAGTCGACCGTCCCTGTGTTGGAGCTTCCACGTGAGAGCTATCTTTTTATTTTCCGCTGTGTTGTGTAAGACTAAGTTATGTTATTAATCGTGATGTAAGATACACTGTGATGATACTTGTTTAATTTGTCAGCTTGTGTGTGTGACTGATCCCTGGGCATATATGAGTTTTGTGCATTTAATTTTATCCTTAAAATTGGGTGTGACAGATTCCAATAAGATTGAGTTTTGCAATGACAATAAATAAAGCTCAGGGTCAGACAATACCAAATATTGGTGTTTATCTCCCTGAACTAGTTTTCTCCCATGGCCAATTGTATGTAGCATTGTCAAGAGGTGTTTCTCGTAGGAGCACATGGGTTTTGGCCAACACAAATAAGGATGTTGACCCCACTGGAAAGAGCACAAAAAATATTGTCTTTACAAATGTATTAGAAATGTGATCCCGGTACATTTAATATTTTTATTTAATCTTATTTCACTTTCAGAGATATAATACTAGAAACAAAAATATTTATTGTACATACAAAATTTTCTTGCAGGAATGGCCTGAGGTTTTTTAAGCACCAAAATGTTGGACCATGGATAGCTGATCTCATCACTTCCCTTGGGAGTTCAAGACTACGTTGGAGCAAAGAACACTAGGAAACGTGATTTATACAAATGTACACGTGCACCAATGATTATGTAAATACAAAACGGGTATTCCTATCTCATATACATGTACTTTCATTATAATATTACATGCAAAACATCTATGTCTCACTTAAAATTATAGCCCAAAATCAATTTTGAATTAATCGCATGTTTTCTAGAAAATGACAAATACAAACGCCAAATGTTTTCTAGGCACGTTCGTGCCGCACGTGCATGTTAACTAGTCTATACAAAAGTTGTAGGTTAATGAGATCCATAATTTTGTAATTGATGATTTTTAAATTCATTTAGAGTCCTAAATATTCATTTTATTTTAACAGATTTCTTTTTGACGGAGATTCAAAAATCAGATTTCAAAATTCAAAATTTAGAATTTTCAAAAAACTTTGTATGTTGACATGATCTATACCAATATTTAGTTGTCAATACGAATACAACTTTGCAGTTGACAAGTTCTATATTTGAAAATATTTAGAGTTTCATTTTGAAATTCATAGGTTTTGGGATTAAAATCTTTGAAATTTTCAAGCGGTGATGGATGGAGACCTATTCCAAAATTTAATAGTGGTCGAGAAGATCTGAAACTTTATAGTTAGTTTTTTCCATTTAAAATTATTTAGAGGACGAAATATTCAATACAAGATTCCTAAACATTGTAGTGGTAGGAAGAGATCGAGGGAATGCGTAAGGCAAATAGGTCATGTAGTAGGGTTTGTCCTAGGATTTCAAAAAATACTCTTTTTTCGGTTGTTTTTTTCCAAAATATTTACAGACATGAACATCTTCACGTTTCTGCTGTTGTTAATCAATTTATAGGGACGTTAATAAAGATGGTCCATCATATCGCCTCTATAAATGGTCCATTAATGGGGATTATTTGATAGAGACGGCCAAGTCATTCATATCTCAAAATCCAAATCTTTTAGTGAGAATCGGTCTCATCTTAGAATGCACCTTGACTTGGAACTTCAGAGCAGTGCAAAGGGTGTCATACCTACGTGTACCTTCTGCATCGGGTGTGTATGTAAACGAATGTTGGGCGAATTGGGGCCGTCCTTCCCCGCACGCTCTGCAATAGTCTGAGCATGTATGGCTCAAGAAGAAAGAGTTGCTGCGTTTGTCAGAACTAGTAGAACTGTACAAGAAACCAGCTCGTGCTCGTTGGTTGTTGGCCGACACGCAGAGAGCGGTCACCTGTGCTGGGCAGAAGTTTGGCCGGGTCGTCGCCAAGTCGCGCACGCCGCGCCACTCGCCCCGTCGCTCGGGCCCTGGCATTTCACATCTCAGGTCGGATTGCGCTGTCGCGTGCTAGCCGTGCCGAGCAGCATCCGGTTCCACTTCCACCACCAAAAACGAGCGTTTTTGACTCACGAGTCACATGTTCGCTTGTTGTTTCAGGCATGGCTTATCAGTCAGCAAACAGTGTTTTCTCTCACAACAAACCATCACCAATTAGGCTTATCAGCCCAAAAATCAACCAGCGAACAGGCCGATGATCCTTACATGGCATCCCGATGAGTCGGTTTTACTTTTACAGTTGAGAGAAGTCGATGCATAATCTTGCATCGGTTCATACCAAATAAGACCCAAAAAACCATGCTTCCCAACAGTAATTATTAGTGATCTAGAGATTTGACATCCCTGGTGCTATATATACTAGTAAAACCAGCTACTCAAATGTAACAATTGTAAGGCAGCAGATATTTCCGTGTCTTATCAGCAATGCATCACTATTGTTGCTCGTTTGCGATAGTAATTAAATAGATATCTCAGGCTGCCGCACAGTATATACATTTATTTGTGCACAAGAATAAACTAAAGAACAAAGTTTCAAGTGTTCTTTGTAAGGAAACTGAGACATACTATAATTATCTACAATCCCTCTGTACTTGTGAAAACTTTGTCCTACTATACGATCAATGGGTGCTTCATCCATCCACCGAAGTAGCAAGAGAACCTTGATGTTGGCACCTCAAAGTAGCAAGCAAACTATGGAGGCTACTTAACTCGATCTGCAGGCTGATTACCTTCTCTGGAAATTTATAACCTTGATAGAAGTCGCGTAGATGGCAAAGAAGAAAAGAGAGAAGCCAATGAGCACTGCAACTGTGACACCAGCCATCCCCTGTTGAAATCCCAGGCTTTCCTCCAGGAACTCCTGCACGGTCCCATCGAAACCAGGGCCGACTATCCTGGTTTGTACATCACCCAACTGCGATGTAACGATGCCTCGCAGGGTCCAGGCCACTGGACAGATGTAATAGAACCAGATCCACCAGCCAGGGATCCTCTGCATGATGAATGACAAGTTAAACGTTTAGGAACAGATAAACATCATACTGACACACTCTCTGGATTGATTGAAAACTGATGTTGAAAAAATCTGGTTACCCACACCTCTTCAAGATGAAAAATGATTCCTTTTTTGACTAGAAAAGCTAGGCCCTCGTTTAGTTCGGCGCGGAATCGTTTGTATTTGGTAATAATTGTCCAAACGTTGATTAATTAGGCTCAAAACGTTCGTCTCGTAAAGTACAACCAAACTGTGCAATTAGTTTTTGATTTTGTCAACATTTAGTACTACATGCATGTACCACAAGTTTGATGTGACAGGAAATCTTCTTTTTGCATAGTGCCAAATTCTGGAAATTGGGGGAACTAAACAGGCCCTAGGTTAACAAGTAAATCATCATGTTTACAAATATAAGAATTGGCTGAGTAAGATTTTTATGTTCAAAACTGAAGAACAATTGGAAGCATAACAATGTAATACTGTTTCTTTTAGCAATTCAGTAACTTACGGATTGGGGGATGAGGAACCCAGAGAGAAGATTCCACAAGGAGTAAAAGGCAGATGATACAACTGCTGCCACATCTTGTGTTGGGGTCAAGCCTACTGCCACCATCCCGTAGAACGTGAAGTAGGTGAAAGTAAGGAACAGGAAAACAAGATACAAAAGCAATTTTCCTGTAGTAAAAGGTTGAGTTTATCAGAATACAGCAAACACACAAGAAGCAATATCATGTGTAGAAAGCATGAAGTCCATTAATGAAGAATGACTTGCCTATGTTCCTCTCATAGTTGATCATGAAGTACGTGATGAGGCCAAATATCAGTGCCTGGACTGCAATGTAAGGAATCTCTACGAGACCCTAATAATTTTAAGAAATATTAGAAACTGGGATCTCTAGATAGGAAAAACAGAAATGATTGCTGTGAGCTTGGCTAACCTGTGCTGCAGCATATGGGAACGATGAGTACATTCTAGCAGCACGTTCCCGGTAGTAGACAGTCCTCTCAGTTGATACCACAGGCTGCACGGATGAGGCATTATTTACACCAAGAAACAGGCATGCCGCGTAAAGAGATCCCATGACAAGCATCAAATCTTCTGTTGTGTCTCTGCATAGTTAAACTGGTATTAGCCTATGAACCATGTGCTGTAAACTGAATGTGTAAATTATCCTAGGTACATTTCGAGCAGGGAGTAAATATTTTTATCCCATAGTCATTAAAACCAAGTCCAAAGTCAAATTATTTATGAGCATAGAGACAAGTGTGGATATTAAATACAGGATCCTAGAGTTCAACATTCCAACCCCTAGTCGTTTTGAGTAGTTTCCATCTCATGGTTGTAAGGTTATCGGGCCTAGTTTTCCCTAAAAAACTGAGCCGATTTCTCTGTTTATTAATTAAAATTATGGCAAAACTTTTGCCATCCTTTCATAAGAAAAAGAACATTTCCAACCCCCATTGGAATTATTAATAAAAGAAGATACATTAAGAAATATATACCCCAATTACAAAATATAAATTATTTAGGACCTTGCCACGGCCTCCAAGATGACATATCCACTAATGATTTCAGTAAAATTAATTATTTGACAAAACATATATTATGGAAAATATCTACCACGATGAATTTAGTAACACCAATCTTATGTTGTACAATTATGATCCATACTGGTACCATCTTGCATTAATTAACTCCTATATTGTAGAACATAACTGTCCAAGATGGAAATATCTGTCATGATGGATCTAGTAACATCAATTGTTTTTAGAAAAAAGAACTAGATATTACTAGAGCCTCATACACCTCCCATCTGCATTACGACTCACTCATGAGCAATATATTAATTATGCTATTGGCGAAACTACAAACATTATGGTAGATATATAGGTCGTTGTACTGTTTTAGAGGGATAATAAAAACCAGTCACATGGACAACGGTATGGCAGGAAAGATTATTTGCCACATCACTTGGGTCATGAATATTACTAGGGACATGAATAAGGTGAAGTTTCGATGCTTGTTGTATGACCGATGCCTTTTTCATCGGTTATTTTTGTTTCTTGTTATTCTAGTCCTTTGAAGGCAACACATCATAAACAGCAAATTTATATTTCAACAAAAATGAAAATAACACGTTTCGCTAGCAATGAACCAATGAAATCAATGTATATTCATTTTAAACATGTGAATTAAAAACAAACAAAAACAAATGTAATATGACTAAGAGATAGAATTACCTTTTCATCCCCACATTCCAAAATATTGATCCGAATATGATAGCTGCAATTGCCGTGAAAAATAACCGCACAACATTATACTCTGGACTTCTCCAGTAAACAAGTCTTTGCTTACGCAAGCAAGCTTTGAACTGAGTAAGAAAGTTCTGTGAAAACTCTGATGAGAATTTCAAAGGTTCCGTGCCAATAGCTGGAATACTTGATTCTTTAATTAACTCTTCCACTTCCCTAAATTATTGTGAACAGGTTTGTTAAAAAATGCCTCAACAGTTGCATAAATTTGATGTCCTTACAAAAGAAAATTGAAACGAAATTACTTAGGCCAAGAAAACCACAACAATAGCACTTCTTTAAGTTCAATAGAAATCACCTGAACTGATCGGAGTTTTTGTACACCACTGCAAAATCTAAACCAAGAATCTCTTCACATGCTTGTGTGGTGACTTCAAGCATCCAGGTTGCTGGATTGTAGCCTTCAGAGATATGATTAACACCAGGAATGGACTGTTTTGAGAATATTAACAAAATGTATAGTTGTTAAGAATAGAGTGTTGGTGTAAGCAAGTTTAGAGATCAAGAATTTTTTTAGGCCGCATATTTCATCACTTCATAGGTATTTTTAGTACAGTGAAAGATGAATGTCAATTGGCATACTTTTTAAGCAAACTGAACCTTATAAGAACTAATTCGGTTGTTAAAATCTTTTATAAAGTATAGAGATAAAAAGAGTAACCTGAAAGTAATCAATCATATCAATTGAATTGACACCCAGAGAACCACCATATATAACGCGACCTCCACGTTTCAGAAGGAGGAGCTGAAATTAGGAGAATAGTCAACAAAGGGAATAAAATGGTGGGCAACTAAGACAAATAAAAAAACAAAAAAAAAGCATGCCAACCTCATCAAAAGCTTCAAAGATGTCAATGCTGGGCTGGTGTATAGTGCAAACAACAGTTCTTCCGGTGTCAACAGTATTTCTAATAGTCCGCATCACAATGGCAGCTGCTCGAGCATCCAAACCAGAAGTAGGTTCATCCAAAAAAATAATTGAAGGATTTGCAACTAGTTCAACAGCTATTGTAAGGCGCTTCCTTTGCTCTGTTGACAATCCAGTAGAACCCTGCTTCCCTACTAATGCATGTCTCAGTTGATCAAGCTCTACCAAAGCCATAACTTCCTCAACAAATTCCTGCAAGATAGTTTAAAGTGTGCATAATCTCAAATAACTAATTGCACCCTAGATTAAAAAGAGTTAGTACAAGTCATACGTGTCTTGTTTTTGTACTTATATCTTTTGGAAGCCGTAAGATTGATGAAAACCACAAGGACTCTTCAACAGTTACTTGGGGCGAGTGTATATCATTTTGCTCAACATAACCAGCTATCCTGGCAAAGGTTCTTTGTTCTTTCTTATGGCCAGAAATCTTAATATCACCCTCAATATATCCGCCTGTTTTTCTACCAGCTAAAACGTCAAGAAGGGTGGTCTTTCCAGCGCCACTTGAACCAACCAGTGCTGTTAAGACACGTGGCCTAAATACTCCGCTTACTTCACATAGCAACTGTAGTCTTTTCTCAGGTACACCTCTTGCTTTCATTTTCTATATGCATGTAGAAACCATCTTAGCTGGTGATGAACTATAAAAATATAAATAATAAGTTTTAGAAGAACAACCTTTGGCATATCAACAAAATAGTTAATGTTATGAAACGTCATTGTTAGAGGTTGAAATGGTAATATCATTCCCTTGTTGAGTTCGCCTTCAATCTGCCCTTTGACTTCATAATTTCTGCCATTACTTTCTGCGATTCAAGAATAATATAAATTTTTAATCAAGTACAATACTTTATCCTCACGTTGAGAAGAAAAATTTAGCTTGGCAAAAAATGCACACTGTAACTAATTAAGGTAGACAAATCAATAGATAATAACAACATAACTATTAGAATTTATTTACTTCTTAAATAATTACTTTCCACCACTCAAAGATATAAGGTATGTTTTATTTTGACCCGACTGTCAAAGTTAATCTTTGGCCCTTATTTCTCATATAATATATGAATTTATATAGGTACAAAGTCCATATTGTGTTTGAGCCCTTTGAAATATCAATCAGTTAAACGGTTTTAATGTGCTAAATGTTCTTGTATTTTATTTAATTGTTACTAATATATAGAGACACACACACAATGTTGGACTTGTATAAATTAAAATAGACCTTATATGTTTTAATGGGGGAGTAATATTGAACTTCATATGCTTATAATGTTCAACAAGAATAAGCAAGTTCCAATACATATCTTGAAAGATGTTAGAACATACACAATGAAAAACAGACATATCTTTTTTGAACACATTATGGGAAAAATGTTATAGTAAATACTAGAATCATGATTGTTAAGAAAATGAAAATCACCTGCAATTGCATGTCCATCTGATACACTATCTGTCAACGCATCCTTTGTTTCTTCAGAATTGGATGGAATAATTGCTTGGGCCTTCCGTAGAGCTTCAAAAACAATTACAATTTAGTTTTGAGAAATCAAAAGGCAGCTAACTGAAGACGGATTTAGAATTATAATTGCATTTCCACACTTACGGTTAAGGAATGCCAAAGCAAGAGTAAACAAAGCATTGAACAAGACAGCATAAGCCAATAAAGCACAAACTCCAATCCAGTACCAGTAATCTTGTGTAGGGAGACTGTGTGAAGTAAGAACATTGAATCCAACAGGATTGTTGCCAGCACCAAATACCTATAATGATACATGTCAAAATAAAATTTAGCTAACAATAAATGTCAAATGATTCTTCTAGTAAAAGAGAATGATGCAATAGATATGCATGCTGTCAAACCAAATTATGTTTGACCCCCACAAATAACAAATTTGAACTATATGTAATTTCAAGCATTCAGTCCTGAAAAGTGAAAACAAATGGTGCGAGTTCAATGGAATGGCTATCTAAATCATATATATGGAATTTGTGGAAAGAACGAAACCATAGTTTTTTTAGAACGAGCACGTAACAACGCAGTAGGTAGCGGAAAAGTCAAAGGAGTGTTTAGTTCAATTTAGACAGGCTTCCCAACCACGCATTTAATTCTGTGTTGTATTGCGAGGCTTTGTGAGGTATTTTGTGCTTTGTCACAGTGTGTGGTGGATGCTGTTGAGACAGCGGTGCTGCTGGTGTTTTTTCTTGTAAATAAAACTCTATCTCTATCCTCGTTATGTTCAAAAAAAATCCAAGGATTCAATTTTGTTATTGTAACCCTTCTTAGACACACTTCGAAAAGTAAAAATAAGGAGAAAGAAATGGTGATTCGTACTAGTAAACAGAGATAGTGAGAAATAATAATTCCTGCTAGTATACAGACCTTTGACCATCTGGATGCTGAGAATTCGTTAACTGAAATAGCACGTTGTCCATACATCAAGGGGGAAAGCCAATAAGCCCACTGCCACCATGGTTGTATAGCCTCTATCAGAAGTAACAAAGTCACAATATGTTGCACCAAAAGTAAGAATCATTCTCATCTAGATCATTAGAGAGAGAAAACAGCTAACTCTTCTGAGATGTCTAGCACAATTCAATATACCACAGGAAATAAATATATAAACACTCACCTTTAGGGATAAGGAACCCTCCTAAAAGAAAAATTGCCAGTAAGGCAGCTGATCCAAAAGTATTAGCAATAGTCATGTCTCGTGCTATAGCCCCCATCATCCGGAAAAGGCCCAAAGCCATTTGATGGACAGAGAACAACAATAGCATAAAGTGAAAGAACCTGCACATAGTTTGCATTATTCTGACATGTCCAAGTACAACAGTAATGACTCCACCTCTAGATGGGCTAGTAAGGTAGTTGTTGGTACCTATCAGCAGTTGGTGCAAAGCCTACTGTGTAGTAAACAGCACATGACCACACTACAGCCTCAATAAGAGAATATGGAATTCTTAATATCCAATTGGGGATTGAGAAAGCCCATGCAGGATGAAAGAAATTGTCTCTCTGCTTATAAAACACTGGAAGCCGTGAAATAGTAATGGGCAATTCTGTAAAACCATTGAACAGCATATGTACAAGCCCATAGAACAGACAAGAGAGATAAAGATTGCCATTTTGCTCATCAACAGGGTGCAATCTTGTGCGAAGAAAGATTGTGCAAGTGATTACCCCGACAAAAGCAACCTGCACAAAATTATGCCATTATTTTCAAATGCATGTGAGGAAGCTCTTTAATAAATTGTAGAATGGTGCATACAAAGAAAGTATTAGATGGTAATTAACAAAAAGTAAATCCCTATATTCTTCTGTTTTCAAAATTTATTATAGATGCATATAGAATTATGGCAACAATTTGGAACAAAATAATGTTAGAATGTAAAGAAATGACAATGTAGCACATAACATTCTTGTAGTTTTGCCTTTAAAGAATAGTGTACCTCCTAAAAACATATTAGATTGACCATGGATACAAACTAGGGCATATTTTCTTCCACAACTGGAAAGGAACGGAGAGATGTAGTCTTGGACTTAAATAATATTTAAAATGCTATAATATAAGGTCAGAAAATCTGTGCATAAACCTTCTTTTCAGAATATATATATATATATATAAAAAGAAAAACAACAGTAGAAAACGAGTATTTTTGTTGAGCTTTCAATAATTTTCATTTAGACTACTCACAAGGTCACAGCAGTTATCATTTATGCATCGATTCTATATTATCAAGTGCTCATAATGTAACCTTCATCCATCTACTACCATGGAAAGTAAAGAGATGGATCATATAACCATGTGATGCCTTGAGATTGAGAGACTTGGATCAACAAAAAGGACATTTTACACCCTTAGGGCATGTTTTGTTTCATAGGCCAATACATTGTTATTTAACTGACAATACAAAGTTAAATAAACTTTATACACAGTGATACTAGATATGGCTCATGTCAGCTACAAGTTCATTTTCAAATAAATTATCACAGCTGAAGTAAAGAGAAACATAAACGTACTTGGCATGTCCTGAAAATGTAGAGGAAACGGTTGCGTCTTATTAAAACAAGCTCCCTGTAAAAGCATGCTCTAACAAGGCTAAGTTTTGATACTGCAAACTTTGATCTGGCAAGCACCTTAGGAGATTTTGTGCCATCATAAGAGTTGCTTAAAATAGAAACCAGAGATCTGCCATAGTCGGATTGTTTAAATGCAGAAGCCATTGTCGATGCAGAAATAAAAGAATAAGGTTTTGACTTGGCAGACCAGTACTGAGCTTGGTCTTTCCTTGATGTCACCTGATATAACAAAGTTACTTAAGTAGATTCTCGCATGCTCCAAATTTTATGTTGGAATTAGCAGTCATCATACAATACCTCTTGGAGAAAATCCGCAATTCCCTTACGAGGCGGCAGTGAAAATCCTAGCGAATTGAAATAGTCCACAACACGCACAGTGGGGCCTTGATAAATGATTTGTCCTTCTGAGAGAAGAATTAGATCATCAAAAAGATCAAATGTCTCTGGTGCAGGTTGAAGAAGTGACATCAGCACAGTAGCCTCCATCTCATGAACAAAATTCCTCATGCATTTAACTATTTGATAAGTCGTTGAACTGTCGAGACCAGTAGATATTTCATCCATGAGAAGGGTTTTTCTTGGTCCAACAACCATTTCACCTACAAAAGTACATCATTTGTTACAGATCTGCCACAAAGAATATCAAATTGTATTTTGATTAGTTTCTTACAGAAGCCATTAAAGTTGTCACTTAGTTATGGCTATTTGTAATATGACTCTTCTCACCTTATGTGGTGTTTTAGTGGGAGCGATGAAATAGATTGGGGCTGGCAAATAAGCCTAAGATCATGGCAACTGGGTTAACTTACCTAAAGCAAGGACTAAAGAGTGTGTCGGATGCTGGAAATGTGGATTCTCCATGCATATAGGAGCATGGCAACAAGAGTATTTTGAGATTAATTAACAAGTTGATGTAGTACCTTAAGATCAGAATATCTTTTTTGTCCAAATCATTCCCTAGATTGTTTGAACAGGAACGGCAAGATCTATTTAATAGGCTTCTGCGAATCACTAGATTAATAATAATAATAATAACAACAACAATATAAAAGTAATATCTCAGAGCCTCTTCCCTTCAACTCCATCTCTAATCTACAAACCCATGAAAAGCATGAACTAAGGTTCATCGCAAAACCACTAAGAACTAGCTCTATTTGGAACAAAAAAGTTGTGGGAATGTAAGACAAAATATTAAATTTGCAATCCTACAAACCTGTTGTGACTCGTTTCTTCTGCCCACCAGAGACACCTCTTTCCATATCAGTACCAACAGCAGTATCAGCACATAGATCTAGTCCAAGCACTCTAAGAACATAGTCTGTAACAAGATTGTGTTTCTGTCCTCCAACTGATGCTGTCTGGTCATACAGAACAAAACATTATGTAGATAAACAAAATGAAATATGAGAAGTTTATGGCCCCGTTTGGCTTGCTGAAACTTGGCTGAAAAACACTGTTCTGGCTGAATTGTTGTGAAAGAAAAACATTGTTCGGACTGAAAAAACAAGATGAATAGTACGGATTATAAGGTAAGCCGAACGGGGCCTATATGTGAATTAGATAAGAACCTTCATAAAGGCATCTATTTCTGGATTTGGTCTTATTCCTCTCTTCCCTTCAAGATCGCATAGCTCCTTCAAGCACTCTACACATATCAACAATGTGTGTAAGATAGATACTTTTTGAACTGACATCTAAGCCATTACATGATAACAAAACCAGTTTAAAGAAATTGTTCATTGTGCTCCTATTAGAAGCATTGATATAGTTTTTAACAAAAAACGCAATAGATACATACTACCGTAAAAGATCTCAAAAATAAAAGCTGAGAGCTTCAAACTTGATGATAAACATGAAATGATCTTAAACTTTAACAAAAGTATATAGTGCTAGATTCTTCAATCTTAAGGGCATTATTTCACCATCAGTGATACTTGGGATAAGGAAAGGTCAAAATATCTGCATGTAGATTGTTAGATTAGATACTTGATGTAAGATGCATGAACCTCACCAAATCTGCAATTCACCGTGTCATGAAATAAAACAAAAAAAAACTGAATTATCTTTGTTGGCTACCGCTTAGTTTCGTTTAATTTCTGGAAAAAAGGTTAATTCTATCACACAAGCTAGTTTATGCTTTGACACACTCATGCAGGTTGTAATAAGCTAGCCACAGCCAATTGTTTTATCTTAATTAAATAGAAATGCATGGATAATAATAGAAGTGACAAAATCATTCAAATGTGAATTAGTAATAAACTAATTAAGTGCCTTGAAAAGTCTAGATGCAAGTTTATTCGTACCCTTGGCTATAATTGTGCCCTTGGGTAATCACAACAGAACTAAACAAAGTATTTGCAAAGCACAAGAATGGGAGCCTTACCTTGGTAGTTTTCACTTGCACCCTGGCATTTTGCAGCAAAATCTAATGTTTCCCTCACTGTCAATTCTCCAATATGGTTGTCTGTCTGACTGATATAAGCAGAAGTTCTTTGTACACAAAATTCAGTAAGTGAAGTTCCATTGTAGGTCACTTCTCCACTTTTCTGTCAGAATATGAGAAGGTAAATGAAATGACAAGAATGATACAGAACATAATAATGGGATAGATTAGGCAACTGGTTTGATTGTGTGAGGGAATAAAAAACCCTCCCAAGCCCGGCCCCCAGAAAATTAAAACAATTCACACAAACAGGGAGTAGATGTCAAGGTCACCTTTAGCTGAGGATCCAGTTTACCAGCAAGGGCCAACAAGAGCGTTGATTTCCCAGATGACGGTGGCCCCAGCAACAGTGTCATTCTTTCACCACACAAAACAAAACAAGAAAACAACATCAGCAGTTACCTATTACAAACTTCATAAATGAGTGCATGCAATCCTTGACACAAAAGAATTCTGAAATAAATTATTTTGGTACACAAAAAACGAGCTACAAGTTTCTAGTATAGTACTACATTAAGGTTATTATTGCAACGGAAAAAAAAAATCAAAATGTTGGCATCAAAAGTGGAAGAGAGAGATAACCACATGATCAAGATGAGTTGCATTAAATACCAGTATTGGCAGATCGGGACTCGTGCTTTTTATATTTGTATATGTATATATAGATATAGATAGATGAGAAAACAGAACAGGGATACATAGGGGATGACTTATCAACTACCCCCAAATGAGATACGTTTCTAGTACATTGTTCCAGAGGAAACAAGTGTCAGCACACAACTGCACAATAGACATGCAAATATACTACCTTTTGTGCCTACATATGCGGATATAAATTTAAATATTTAATTTAAGTTGGGAGTGTGACATGTGTTTGCATTCATATAGAGACCTGCAGTAAGAAGTATTGTTTCTCACCTCCCAGGTTTTAGAACTCCACTAACATCATCAAGAATAGTGAGCTTGGTCTTCTTAGGACGTAAAAGATGGCAACAAATTAGAAGCCTCTGCACCAAGATAAAAGGTATATATATATATATATATATATATATATATATATATATATATATATATATATATATATATATATATATATATAGCAAAGGGTTTGCAAGTGTAATAAGATAAAAAAAAAGGTACACAAGTGTCATGTAAATTATGGTATATATATATATATATATAGTCATAAATGAAAATGCTACAAGCTAGCCAGAGCATATATATTTTACCAGCGTATGGAATTGTTGATGCCTGCAACGTAACTGCAGTTGCATGCCTCATCAAGTACGTCTGATCAACTCATCGTCAACTAACTGACTATGAGTGTGTTATGTCAAAATTATTAGTTGCATCGGGTAGCCGTAACTGCATGTGACAAGATTTAAGAACCCATAGCGTTCAAAAGGAAACTAACAACAACAACGCATCGTAAGACTAGTGCTGAGGCTGAGCTAAAAAGTCCTGACGTGGACAGTTTAATCACATGATGACATGAAGCAGCAGTCGCTATCCGAGCAAGCAAATGATGCATGAGATCCGCGCTTTGCCCTACCCAACACGCAATTCAAACCACAACATATGCATACCTCGGCAATGTCATGGACGTAGTTGAGGAGCGTTGGCAACGCCCGGCGGCCGTAGTGCACCTCCGTGGACACCGTCAGGTTGCGGAATCTCACCTCCACCCGTGGCACGTCCAATCCCGCCCTTCACGAGATAACCAAACAGTTGGAATCGGCATTTAGTAGAGCACGTAGTAGGCAAATCGTCATTAGAAATCGGTCAAATCGGTTTAGTGTATATGATGAGAAAATTTTAAGTGCTAATCGAATCGGCGAATTGAAGGAAGGGATGAGCTGCATTACTTACGCGTGAAAGCGGGCCCTGATGCCGTGGAGGAGCTTGGCGTTATCGGAGTCGGCGGTTGCCAACGCCCGCTGGAGCACGCGCTGAACGCCATGCCGGTCCAGCCTCCGCACGTCCACGACCTCGCCGCCCTTCTTCTCTGCACTGCGTCCTCCGCCGCCGCCGCCGGTGCTGCCACTGCCGGGGTCGGGCACGACGATGGCGAGGTTGCGCCGCTGAGGGGAGGCGACGCGCTCGATGGTCGCCCAGAGCTGGTCGGCGGCCGTGGCCTCGCCGTCGTCCTCCCCATTGTTGACATCCACCGCCACGTGGTGGGGTTGGACGGCGCCGCTCGCCATCGCCTGCTCTGCCTCAGCCTCTGCCGCCGCCGCGATCTGATCTGGAAGTGCAGTACTAAGGCTCTACGACTGTCTATATGTAGGTGTAGGTTGCAGGAACTAATAAAAGATGAAAACAAGAGGCACACGGTTCTAGTCGAGAGTATATATGAGATGAGAGTTGGAGGCGGCAAGGCAATGGGATCGGATCTCGGGCGTGTCTTCGGGACGTGAAAGACGTGGACGATGAGCGCGGTGACGCGGGGCCTTGCCGGTCGTCGTGAGAAAGTAACCAATTCCACAACTAACACTCCGAAGTGTTGGCGGTGGAGACGCGAGGTCGCTGCGCCTCGCATGCAGCGCTAGCTGGTCCACCACCCAACACAGAGACGAGGAGGCCGGCGGCCGCGGCGGCTGTTGGGACTTGCATTGGGACACAGCTACTACGTACGCGGCCGAGATCATGGGCAGGAGGGGCGACCATGCATGGCGTGATGAATAATGCTTGCCGCCCGATCTTCAGCAGTCCGCGCGTGCGTGCCACCAGTACGTGTTGTTGTAATAACCTATAACAAGTTGAAAGCCAGTTAGGGACTTAGGGTCCGTTTGGTTCAGCGTGGAACGGTTGTTGTGAGTTATGTTCTATAAAAATTGTAATATGTTTGGTTAAAACAACTAGGAAGCATACTCACTCTTTTATCTCCCTTGATGAAACAGTTGTAAAACGTCTCTCTATTTTAGGTCTGCTAATAGGTCGGGTAATAATTGGAATTTTCGGGTTTGGTTGTGCTATGGAACTGTTTGGATGGGTGGTAATGGGTTTAGAGGTTAAACGAGTTGGGATGGGTTGGGTTTGCTAACAAATCGGGTTGGGATGGGTTGGGTTTCCCAATCCTCCAATACGTCCAATATCATGACGGCCGCGACAGTGCCGGACCTCACCGGGCTTGGGAACGGTGCCGAGGCCCCTGAAGACAAGGAAGAGTGCTGCACGGCGGCGGCGGCGGCATGGAAGAGGTGCTGCACCCGGCGCTGACGGCTTGGAAGAGGTGCTGCACGGCGGCGGCGGCGACCTGCACATGGCGCCTCCGGCTGCGGTGCCCCAGTCCACCTCCTCCTGCTCCGGCTGGCGGACCCGGCACTACGTGCACCCGGCGCCTCTTGGCCTCACGCTCCGTCCACACGGCCACGGCCTTGGGCTCCAGTGGCGCCATTGATGTAGCTGCCACCTCGAGCCGCACCTGCACTACCCTATGCCCCCGTCGCCGCTGCCACCACCTTCGTCGGCCGCAGGGAAGAGGAGCAGCAGCAGGAAGGAACGAACGCGCAGTAGCTACAGGAAGGAAGGAACGCAGGGAAAAGGAGCAGCAGAAGGAACGAGGCAGGCAGGCAGGCAGGCAGAGTGGGCAGAGTGGGTTGGATGGGTTCGGTCTTAATTAATTTGAAACGGGGTGGGTTGAAGTTGAAAAATAATTAATTAGATTTGGAATGGGGTGGAAATGGGTTGGGATCTCCACCCTATTCGCTGATGCTGAAATTTAGCTTATGCTGAAATATTGTAAGAAGAAAATAATGTTCTATGACTGAAAAGTAGTTTCTAAATAAGCTCAAGCGAATAGAGCCTCACCTATTTTCACGGATTTGGAAAAATAGAAAGTTAAAAGCCAAAAGTAGAGTCGTCGTGAAAATTATATTACGCAAAAGCAACTCTGATTTTTCCTGTTTGGTGGGCATTCTACTTTTTGGCAGCACAAGCACACTCTTAACCTTAAGCACCCGAAGTCCAAACCAAAAGTTGTTTTTTTTTTCTCGAGTACATGAGCGCGCTTGGGCCCAACTGCGATCAAAATCAACACTGAAGTGTAGGCCTTCTTCAAAGCTTCAACGTCTATCGTGGTCGACGGGTGGCAGGGGAACCTTGTTTTGGACAAACAGGGGTTCGTGGTGAGGCCATCTAGGACATGCGCCAGGCTGGCCGAGCCGGTTTGTGAGGTCTCTCTTTTGCCTTTGCTTGCTCCGGTTTCGATCGCGGTCAGTTTTGTTTAAGATGAGATTTTGCGCTTTTGCCCAAAACAATGGGCGATGCGGTTCGCGTGCAATCAAAGTATTGCCCGATATGATTCAGGCTCCAATTTTGCAGTTCCAGCGGCTCTGTTGACATTCCATCAAAACGGAGCATCTTTGGCATGGCTTTTATGCTTTATAGAACTTCCATAGGCGTGACATCACTTATATCATGCTCTGACTGCAAGAGCCATTTGTGTCATGGCGCGCGCTTAGGGCAAGTACATTGGTACACGAAATCAGTCTCATAAGTTGTCTCATGCAGTGCCATATCAAATTTTTTGTGTGGAAGAGAGAGAGGTAAGAGAGAGAGGTGCTCATAAGCTAAAATTTAGGACTATGAAACAACTTATACACCATCGTACAAGTGGTTGTTGTCATGCGACTCATAAAAATTCTTTTGTTGTATGCATAAATTGAGGACTCTAAAATTATTATGAGACAACTTAAAAGACAAACTTTTATATGTGTTACCTCTTAGATCGTCTCATAATTACGTGACACCGCATGAGACTATGTACGAGACAATACTAATGTACTCGCCCTTAGACGTGTGGTTCGTCTTTCACCATTTTTAAGGGCAATTTCAATGTTAGAACCCCGATTAATATAATTTATATATTTATCAAATCATATAGATACACAGAAACCTGTTGACGCCAATTCCAATCACACGTTGGTAGGGACTAAATATAATTTAGGTATATGTTTAGTTTAATTTAGGCTATTTTCATAAAGACCGAAAGTAAATAATTTAGGTTTAAGTTTAGGTTAATCTAGGCTATTTTAAAAATGGCACGGTGGACGATTTAAATATAGATTTAAGGTGTTATTTTAGGATAACACCTTAAATCTATATTTAAAAATGCATACAAGTCTGTTTGGACACCAGAAAATCCGCCTACAGCGGCTTCTCATGTGGGAAGTGTGCGGGCGTGCCAGTGTACAATAGTACACAAAAATAAAAGACAGGAACATAGTATCTTATTAATCATCACAAGTAACAAGTACAAATTCCTAAGAAAAGAATGCGCGCCATGGCCTGCTGATGGCTATCTAACTTGGCGATGTGGTCTCCATGGTTCCTGGGGCCTCGGAAGGCTCTCAGTTAATTACCCCTGTGAGTTGAATCACAGAGTACCTCCGATTCTGCTGCTGTGGTCGTCGTCTTCAATCTTCGCTTCACTTCTCCATTCAGAGTGTTGGTGTAGATGTGGATGGCGTCGACGTAAGGGCCTCGTCGGTCCATGAGCCGGTACAACATGGCTGGAACATCAGCCATGCCCGCCCGTGTAGTCCGCCTTGTCAGTGTCGAACAGCACGTGGTATCATCTTGATCGCACTTGCATGGTTGGTGTAGATCGGATCGGATCGGACTTCCTCGGCCGCGTCGTCGTGGTACGCCGTGGACCTTGTTCACTTGGAGTTGTTGAAGTAGTGGATGGAGAGCTGCATCGCGGCGCTGCGTTCTTGTGGAGGCCGGCGTGGCCTCCTGGCTTCAGCACATTTGGAGCATGTACGTGTATATGCATCCATACATGGCCCTGTACACGCCCACATGCACGTAGCCTTGCCTTGCTTGCATCTTGGTGTTGCTTGTGTGTAGGTAAAGAACTTGCATCTTCAAGTTCATGTCGTGGTAGCGTTCGGCCTTCACTCGGGCGTGTTCGACGCCAGCGGACCAAAGCCGGCCGTCGGCGCTCCGTATTCCCATGACGCGAAGTCTGGCGTCGTCTCGATCATCAGACCGCCACGTCGCTCTCTTCTTGGCCCAAATCATGACATTGGACCGATGTGCTCATATCCATGCAAGATTGCAAAAGAAAGAGTAACTAATAAATAGATTGACTAGATTAGTTTCTTACCCATGGAGAAGAACGTGTATGCCATCTCTTTCTACTGGTGGCTTTCGCCTTGTCGGCTTCAGGAACTCATGAAGGAAGACGACATCTGGCCGCTGGCTAGCTGCTGGTCTGGGGCTGAACGTCGGAGTGGTGGATGGCGATGTGCTTCTAGCTCTTGTTGCCAAGAACAGCCTGACGGCGTGGAGGTGAGGTCTGATTAGCCCTTTCATAGAGTCCTGGGGGCTCTTTATATAGGCAACAGCTAGGGTAATGCCGAGCCTGTTGGGCTGCATGCACGCGCCGCCTTTGTTGGTTGCCACCGAGCGAGATATTTGGAGATTTACTTGTCTTCCGTTCGATATTATCTTCGGCTCGTGTATATCCTGGCGAGAACCTGGACACTTCTATTCCGTATACCAAACAAACATCTCCTTTCTTGGCTGAACAGTGGGCCAGCACTTGATATGGATTAGCTTCTCACATGCAGTCACTGAGGCATGGGCCCAGCTGACTATAGATTCTACTATACGTACGTATATTTGGTCCAGAGAGGCTTGCGGCTGATAAACGTGCATGTACGCTAGCTGGCGATCAGTACACGGATCTGCCGGCTGTATATCCCCCAAACGTTCTAGAATATTCTAGACCTCGCACCGAGTAGCGCCGCGTCGCATCGGCCCGGCTGGTGTACAATTATGCGGAAAATACATGGTATAGACTGGCATATATACGAGCTCTACGGCCGATTCCGGACGTATATATATAAGCGCACATACGTATCATGACTGCACCTATTTAGCTCTCTCCCATTGCCTGTCGCGAGCATACCTACACTGCATGCATGGACCTGTAGCACACAGAAGCTCACACGGTGGTTATTAGCTTCCTTGCTTGAATGCACGTGACACAAGCATATATATGTATATGTATGTATTTTCCCTTTTTTTATATGCTCGATGGTACACACAAATAAAAGTGTACATATGGATTTTACTTTGACAAAAATCCATCGAACAAATGCCCCCCACCAAGTCGAGTTTGGACGGGCATGTAGCAAGTCCGGACTTGGCTTGGTGAAGAACTGGATGGAGATATGTTCGGGCGCAACAGATT